CTAAACCGTAAACCCTAAACCGTGAGATCATCTTGAGGAAACCCCCTCGCGGTGTGCCAAAGATCCTGCAAGGCTCCCAAAGAATGACCACCAGATTTCGGTTGACCGCCCAAGAATCGGGTGTTTGGGCTCCTTTACATTATAATTATAACAAGGAACCCTAACAGTAATATTGAACCCTAACAATAATTAATATTGAGCCCTAACAAGAATATTGAACCCTAACAATAATATTGAACCCCAACAATAATATTGAACCCTAACAATAATATTGAACCCTAACAATAATATTGGTAACTAGGCTATGTCATGTCCATGCGTGATTTTCGTGCTGTTCTTGGGCCAGGTCGCGAAGGCTCGCACGGCCCGATCCAAGGCCGTCAAGAAGGCCCCAGGGTTCACATCGACGGAGATGGATGGGATGGACCACAGACGGTAGCAGTATCTGGGTGGGAGTTATCAACTGAAGGATGAAGATTCAGGCTTGCTTCACGAAGCTCCCTCTTGCTACTTCAGGTTGCGACATATGTGATCTGATGCTCGATTTTACTTCCTGCGTTGTGGAAACCGTTTATCCAGGGCTGCTCCTGTTTCGATGCCAATGCAATGCAGGGAGCCACCCCGCAGTCTGTCCAGCTAGAGGGGTTCAAGCTGGCAATCGTTCAGAGGTATCCAGGCTCTATCACTTGCCTCAAGGCGGAGATTACCGCAAAGCCTGCTCTCAAGCAACAGTGCACCTTGGAAAGACGTGCAGGCCCCCAAGCAACAAATCCGCCAGGCCTTGAAGAAGTAAGCGGCTTGACCACATCTGCCTTCGTTACGAGGCCAAGATTATGCGAGAAGTCTTGGATGTTGGTTTCAGCCGGAGTGTGGTGAATGCTACAGGGATCAAGTAGAGCAAGTGGATCTCAGAAATCCGTCTGAGCTTCAACTCCCACCTGCACCCCGCTCGACAGGCATGTGCGACGCGGGTGCTCGAGCTTGAGTGATGGAAGATCGCTGCGGAGAGAATCGAAAAAGTGGATCTCGCACAGACGGTGGTAGTTCCGAGATGCAAGTCAGCTGGGGCGTTGACAGCACCTTTGCAGGCCTACTGTGATACCCGACAGCTTGCATTAGTCGAGCTTCTAACCTTCATTCCTAAGTGGCCCTCGTAGGTCAGCAATAGAGACAGCTCCTGGCAAGGACCATGCTCTTTCAGAGTGGCTGGATACGGATGAATCCAAGACCAGGTGGACCCTGAATTGCTTATGCTTCTCAGACTCTGGTGACTTGCCATCATCTCATCTGTGTGTCGTTATCATCTTCATCACGGTTATAAGCACAATCAGCACCATCAGCTGCATCATCAGGTGACCATCCAGCCAGCATCGTGTGACCATCGGTGTTGTGATATCGCCCCTCCGGCTCCTCCAAATCCAGCATCTCATCATCATCATCGTCATCATCATCATGATCAACAACATCATCTTCATCATCATCCTAACAGCACCAGCACCAGCCAGCGCCCACCATCACCGTCACTCGCCGTACGGTCTTCATCACCCTCATCAGCGCCATGCACGATCATCTCAGACCGTACATCCCGAGTGCAGCTGCAGCAGCCACGAACTCCATGTATTGCGGAGATTGAGCACTG